ATATATTTGTATGGTGATTTGATGGATTTTCCTTTTGTTAATTCGATATGTTATTCCTAACAAGTATGTAGGAGTGCTGACGTGGCAAGTAGGGTGGAGAGCCAATTAAAACTTGTGATAAGGCCCATGTACTCAAGTCCACCTATCCATGGTGCTTCAATTGTGGCTACCATTCTCAAAGACAAGTAAAAGGGCTTTTACGTCTTTTGCACACATTGTTCTCTACCTATTTTTGGGTGTAAATAAGTTAGGATGATATTGCATTTCCATAAAGTTGCATGATGAATGAAGCCTTGAATTGAAGACAATGGTTGATCGTATTGTTGCCATGCGTAAACAACTTTTTGATGCTTTATCTGCTAGAGGTATTTATTATGTTTGTGTTTTGGAGCTTTCTTTATTTTGTTTTTTCATTTTCTTCTGTTTTAATTTTTGTGTGTTGTGTGTTGGCAGGGACACCTGGCGACTTGAGCCACATTATAAAGCAAAGTGGGATGTTTACATTCACAGGTCTTAACACAAAGCATTAAGCAAGTCACCTTCATGGCAAAAGAATTCCACATCTACATGATATATGATGGGTAACAACTAACAAATTTCTTTTTTCTTACTAATACATTCTACTTTGATAATTCTATTCTACACAATTATAGCATTACACTTTCATGTTTTTTACTATAAATATGAAGAACTGAAAGTAGGATGTTATAACTTACAATAATAATCAATAAACAAATGAATGAAAGTAGATTGTTATTTCTTACAAATGGAAAACATGCAGACGTATTAGCATGGCGGGTTGAAGCTCAAGGACTGTTCCTCACCTTGTAGATGCGATACATGCTCCTGTAACCACTATTGGTTAAATTAAGTAAGTTGGTTGCTAAATTTTAATTATATTTTTTTAATTTTCCTCCAGTTTAATTACTGTTGTTTTAATAATGGACTGATGATTGATAATCTCAATTGTGTGTTATTTTAGAGAAAATAAAGGTTTATATTTTGTTAACCAATATCACATTTGGTTCAATTGATACATTTAAACATTTTGTCGGGTAAAACTTAATTTCAAAATTGTGATTCTTGATATTTGTTTTTATGTGATTAAGAAAAATTGTTTTACATAATTGTCATCACATGTTAAGTAGGTTCTTAATTTGATAGTTATTTCAAGCTGCATAATTTTCATTATTTTCCAATTTCTTCATATATATATATATATATATATATATATATATATATATATATATATATAGGACTAGGTTCATGTGTTCATAGCATCTATTGTGTGCTCGTAAGCACAAATCTGGACCAACGGATGGAATATACTCA